CAGTGCTGCGGAAAAGGTGACTGAAAAGCTAGGGAAAATATTGGAGCCAGCTCAGCCTTCAGACGCAGCAGTAACCTCTACTGAAGCCCCTCAACTCGTGACTGTTAAACAGCAAACTGGTAGCGGAAGTAAACGCAAACGCCCAACTAAACATTTAAAAAAGAGAAAGAACACGAAACGACGAAAGCACCGTACTAGTAACGGTTCTTTTGATAAGTATCCCGATATTTTCTAAAAAAACTACAAAAATGCCTGAATATCTGCTACCACACTCAGAGCCGGCCATGTCTAGTGACATGAACCTGTTCTCCGTACCGGCATCGTTAACGGAACGTTTCAGCTATGAGACACAAGAGTATGGACCAGAGTCGGCGCCTCCGGAAGACTCACCATTAAGCGGTAACCTATCTTTCTTTATCCCGCCGTCATCCAACGGTCTGCTCTCGCTCACGGATACGTGTTTTGAGTGTGAATTAAGTATAAAGAAAAAGAACGCCACAAATGCATGGGTGAACCTAGAGATCAATGATAACGTAGCGCCTGTTAATTATATTGTGCATAGTTTGTTCAAACAAATTCATTTTACTGTGGCGAACAAGGTGATCTCTGACTGTTCACCTTATTATCCCTATCGCGCTATAATGGAGGTTCTAACAAGTTATACTGAAGATGCAATGAAAAGCCAGCTAACGAGCGGCGGATTTTATTTCGACACACCAGGCAAGATGGAACATGCCACAGAGAACACTGGCGAAGCAAAGCGCAAGGAGCTTTTTGCTTTAAGTGCTAGCGTTCAGTTATCGGGAAAGATTTTCACGGACTTATGCGTACAATCAAAACCTTTGCTCACAGGCGTCCCCGTGCACGTTAGCCTATACTTTAACAATTCAGAATTTTATTTACGATCATGGAATACTGGTGCGACGGCTGCAACGGAATACAAGGCATTCATGAAACATCCACGCATAACCGTACGACGCTATATCCCATCACCGGATTTTATGAACGCTGTTACACAAAAGTTACAAACCACAACAGCCAAATACCACATTGAACGCGCAGAATTAAAGGCGCGTGCTATTCCTGCTGGCACCCAAACTATAGCATTTTCCGACCTCAAGTACGGCCAACTACCTAAGGTGATATTTATTGCTTTTGTGCAATCGGACCGCTTCCATGGCACAGCAAGCCTCAATCCGTTTGTATTTGATCATTGTCGCGTTCGTCAAATCTGTATTAATGTGGATGGGAAGCAATACCCAACGATACCCTACATGTGTGACTTTCCAAACAACCGCTATTTAAAGTGTTATGACGGCTTCTTGGATGTTTTGAATCAAAAAAACCATCCAGCTGGAGCCCATATTCTGGATCGTCAGACATACGCAAAAGGATACACAGTGTTCGCTTTTGACCTGACGCCAACGGCTACAGGCTTAGGGCCCATGACGCTAATTCGATCAGGGACAGTGGGCCTGGAAGTAACTTTTGACACACCACTAACTAATGCCTATCAAATGCTGGCTTGGATAACGTGCGACCATTTAATAGAATTCACCAATTTACGCCAGGTTATTTGCGACTTTGCGTCGTAATTAAACAAAACATCGTCACAATGAACGAACAGGAAATTCGGAATATCATGTGGTCACAGTACAACCCCGCTTCTCACATGCTGAGATCGGTGTTTCGCGGTGTCTACGCCCTAGATGAGCTACAGCAGCAGCATCTTACAGATGCCAACCTACCTGCTGCGTTTATTGTAAACACTGATCCAGCCAGCGAACCCGGAACACATTGGATTGCCGTCTACGTTGAGTGCCCCCTCATTTATTGAAGTTTTCGATTCCTACGGCAAACCCGTGGCCTATTATAGTCAGTCACTTGAAAATTTTCTGAAAACGCAACTCATTGGCCAGCCTGCGTCATCACCACCGTTGCCCCTATACGAACAGCGAGCTGTTTTACAACAGCCATTGTCCACTACCTGCGCTCAACACTGCATGTTTTTTATAGTAATGCGATCAGCATGTCGCTTTTCCTATTCCTACATCATTCATAACCTATATCGAATTGATAATCAATTTCAAAATGACTTGATGGTTCGTAACTTTATTAATGACTTTTTCAATGCAAAAACACGTGTGTATAATTTTGAAGCATTCTACTAGCAATTAAATTGCAATATAGCCCTCGCAAAATCAAAGGGAGGTGCGCTGCGCGCACACACCTTTGGTTTTGCAGAGGGCCCGCGTGGCAATTAAAATGACAAATCGACTTGGGGCCGCCAACGCGAACTAGAAATATTTGCAAATAACATTAATAATAAATTATTACGAATACACTGAAACTGTTATAGCGATTACAATTACCTAAGCGAGCTAAGATGATGGCTTGAAAAACCAAACAGACACACACAAACATACACAGAAACATTCATACTAGTTCAGTTTGAACTGCTCCTTGAAACGCTGCAGCATTTCAGCACACAGTCGATCTCCGTGCATTACCAGAAATTCGTCAGGCTTGAAGTGGTATGCCTCCAGCAAGTTGCGTTCCGCATTATGATGCGAGTGCGCTGCTTCGTCAGCATAGCGGTACGGTAGTTGCTTGAGAAACAGCCCCAGCAGTGTCTTTTCCACATCCTTACAGACATAGCTTCGCATACGGTCCGTTAGTTGTATACGATCCGAGTAGCGGCATGCAGTATGGCCATCATGAGCTCCAGGTTGTAGTGGATCAGCAAAGGTATCCTCCATAAGGTGGCAAAGCTTGCATTCTTGCGTCAGGCGTTTGCAAAAGCGCTCCATCATAGGCCACGGTAGCTTCTCAAAAAATATCCTGGTAGTCGGCTTGGCAGACTTGCATGGTAGGGTACCCGGATCGTCCCTTCAGCACCTCATACGTATGCTTAAGGATGGTTCCGTTGTCCAAAAGTTCACAGAACGCCGTCCAGTTCTTTTTACTACAATTGCAACAACCACAACAACCATAACAATAATATCAATAAGCTAAACGGTTATCAAACAATCAAAAAAAAATAAGTAATTTGGTATTAACTATGTTGCTATCACTAGAATACAACACTCACTTCATCGCAAGTCGTTTCTCACTGGGTGAGCCGATGACCACCTTTGTTCCCGGTTCTTTCAGGCTGTTTGCTTCAAGGTAAACCCGAATGTTGGCAATGGGTACTTCGTCAAGCCTGAGGAGAAGCAACCGCAGAAATATAATAATAATGTGCCATAGAAACAAAAGCACAAGGTTGTCATATGAATGACTTTCTTACCATCCCCAGTTAAAGAAGTAACCTCCGCCCAGGTCATGCATTGCCGTAATGGGTGTAGAGCCTTCGTCATAGTTGATCAACCTTTCCAGTTGTCCACACAGTTGTAAACCCATGAGTTTGGCAAACTGCTTTGCATCTAACTCGACATGCTTGGACGCTAAACTCGGAACCCACTGACCCTCCTGATTTTTATCAAACTCCCCAATAATGTATCGCAAACGGTTGTTCATCAAGTAAATTGCAATGAATTTTTCTCCTCCAAATTTAATTACTGGCCCGCCTTCGTACTGAAATGCAACCTGCCCCTGGGTAAACCCACGCCGTGCTAAGCTAACTGCATCGGTTTTGGGCTTATACGAGTCCGCGGTGACCTTACGTTTCTTAGTACTAGTAATAGTTAATGCCCTAACAGGCTGAAGTGATGCCGGAATAGTCGACAACGATGGTGATGACGACAAGGCAGCCAAAAGGTCACTGTTATCACCTGATACACTATCTACGCTTCGCGTTGCAGCCATTGCGGTGAAAATTTGAAAATACTCGCAAATAACGGTAACAGTAACGATAACGCTTTAAACCCAAAGCAAACAAACAGAATAATGGACAACTAAATCAAAGTGAAGGCAGGAATACGCAAACTGTATGCACTAACATCAGAAACACGAGCCGACCTAATCATTTTATAGCCAACTAAGTAGGTTAAAACAGCAGCATGTTTATTCTTGCTTTTTTTAGTCATCGGGTGGACACCCTTTATACAATGCATCAGCTAAAGTACTAGCATTGTTTGCTTCCGTTATCTTTGGCATCGCCTCAAACTCACGTTGGTCAGATGAAAGTCCATAGAACGCCCCATATAATGCGCCTGCCATGAACGTGCGACCATCCGTGTCACCTCCAAGGGCAATGCAGCTCTGGACCATTCGCTTCCAAGGTGACATGATGTTATATCCAGACCACCACTGCAGGTTCCCGCCCACGAATGCCATGACCATAGCCAGCGGAACAAAGTCCTGTGCTGCGCGCGAGCTAACATTCGGATACAGTCGGATAATGTCTGCTGGCGAACGCAGTACGCTATGGTTTACGTATAACGCATTGGCAGCTTTCATGTTCTCTCCAAATGGTGGTTCGAGAGTTGAAGCATAATCCTCTAGCCGTTTCAAAAAGGTCGTCACTGAAGCTGTGCGGGCGCTATCACACGCTTCTTGTAAACTAAAGGCAAACAGCACAGCTCCATCAATCCCCAAACGATGCGTATGTGTGATGGCTACACACTTCTCGACTTCTCTCAGGAAGCAACTAGGTTCGCGGCAGTAGTACAAAGCCACCGGTGCAGCCATCACTGCTCCGTGATACCCGTGAGAGCCCTGCCCACCGTGCGCACTTCTTGCAGGCCCACAAACGTAAGCTTCGTCATCTCGTCGAAGAGCAAAGTTACTCTCGCTGCTTGCAGCACTCCATCGCCGATAAAACTTTTTCAATAAACGCTCCATGTGCTTACTACCCCCAAAGTAGTTGGATGATCCTAACGCTTTACCCAGTCCATCGGCTATATAGTCACGCTCGACTGTATAGCAACCTACAGTCACTTCGAGAACCACCAGAGCAACTGTTCCACTAAACCCACAACGCACATAACAAGGATTCTTGGCCACGTCCGCACACCGCTCATGAACTTCTCTCAAGGTTGGTAAATGACTTCTGTAGAAGGATGTATTGAACAGACGACCAAAGCTGCTGGCAACAACACTCCCCACGAGGCAACCTTTTAACCTATCGTGCAATCCACCTTGCCAGTCACCTTGCCAGATAATGTGCTGAATGGCATCCATTGTTCCGGGCGATGGTGGTGGCGATGTCGATGTTGATGATAAACGAACATTTTCGGGTTCACATCCAGACATGTTCTATCGACTACTATATAAACTGCAGCAAAACTGACAAAACTTCAGTTGCACGTTTCGTTTTCCCTAACTGTTTCTTAGTTGTCTAAATTGCGTCCGTTTATATATCCTGCATTACCATGGACCCTGCTGAGGAAAAGCGTCGAGCGATATGCATTGTCATTACGATTGCTTTTTTTGGTAGTCTGCTAGCACTTGTTCTGATTTTATCGGGCATTACTCTTGGAACCGTCACCACTTTTCTACCCTATCAGCCATCAGCCGCCGCCAGTATCGACGAAGCCAACACCACCCTGGACTTTACTTTCAATAACGACACAATGCCAACATTCAAGTTCATGATCAAAGGGCTATGGTACGTAACCGTATGGCACAGTAGTAAAGTCATCTAAGATGCGTCGTTTGTCGTACGTCTTTTTGAACCGCTTTGTCATAGGCACATCTTGGATTTCATATGTCCGTTTCTTCCGGCGAATAGTACTACCATATGTGACGGAAAGGGACTCGGGCTGAACGTTACCATGAGCGCTATCGGAGGCGGTCTCATCTTGGAGAGGTTCGGTTGCGATTTTCAACATCGAATCAAAATTCAACACCGTTCCTGTAAGTTTATTAATTTCAAATCCTTTGATTTTACAGACCTCCTGCCCAGATGCCGTAACGTAGCTGTAAGATTTTGGACCAGTACTACAAAAGCGCGTAATGAAGTCGTCCTCGGCCAGCTCATTACTTAACATCCCCAGAGTGGACCCGGTTTCAAACGGCTCATCACCTGGACGCTGAACAAAGATAATGCTGTCCTACGATTTAAAAACTATGTTTTTTTTCCCGTTTTTTCTAGTTTAATATGCTTTAGGCTAATGCTTCACCTCTTACCGTATCAAAGTATAGTAATCGCTCGCCCGCTCTTTGCATGAATTTCAATAAATGTAATCTCGCGTGTGCCGTTGTAAACCTGACAGCAAAATATAAGTACAAGTCTAATTCACCTGATTTAAATGAAGCACTAAACTTGAAACTATTATCACTTACGCTGCTAGAACCACGTTCGTTTTCGGGTTAGTCGGAACCATAGCATCCTTCCTCGTGTACATTATTTGTACAACGTCCTCCGAAAATACGTCATAATCATGGATTTCGAATTCTGAAGACGTTAAATAGTGCAGAAAATCCTTCACAGTGTTCACGAAAACTGTGCTGAGAAGGTTATTTCTCATTCCCAGCCGGCCCCAAAAGCTGTAAACACCATAGCAAAGATTACTAGTACTACTACAGCTATTTTTAGTGTATTACCGACACCAAACAAACAAATAATAGTAAGCACCAACCTATTCAGGCACAACTTAGCGAGCTGCCGCAGTCCCGGATTCCAGCTTATTTTGGAACCGTCCAACCTGATGCCTTCCGTTTGGAAAAAGTGGTCCAGAAACGCATCTTGCTGCTCTGGAGTTTTAATATCAGCCGGCCAGCCAGAAGCTTGCACTTTAAGCGCCAGGAACAAATCAATATAATCAGCAAAAAAGCGCTCTCTGCTGTCGGGATAGTGCCATACTTCGTGAATTTCCATTAGTTCATAACCATTTTTCACGGCTTCTTGTAGTTCTAGTGTGCACCAAGTCCCCGTCAGAGCTCTTTGCTCCGGATCCTCGTGCGTGCAAACTTGCTGATTTTTTTCTTCAGCGCAAGTGCGGCATAACGTGAAAATCAATTTATCGAAATGCGCCGGTAATATCGGTATCATCAGGTTGCGAGGCGGTAATATTTTGCAATGCATAATTCCAAAATAGTTATCCAAGGTTTTAAAATTATTAGTAATTCTTTTATGCTTGCCAACCGGATAGCGTTTGTTTTTATTGACATATGGATATTCGGATACAACATCCAAGTACATTATCTTCTCTCCAGGCTTGACCTTATAGTCTAACACTAGGGCATTTACTCGTCCTCCGAACAATGCTTTTCTCGGGTCGAGGGGTTCAACAATCCGTATGTTTTTTATAGCAGTAGCAAAATTAGCGTCGTTTTTAATGCGACTGTCATATTCACATTCCCAAACGCTCACAATATTGATTCTAAGCTTCTTCAACATTTCTTCGCGCCGTACGGTCCGCTCGTACAACTCACCCATTGTGGCGTCCTGATGCGGGTGGCGTGTACTTGGATTCGTGCATATTGGATGGCCGTGGTGCACGCACCCATAAAATTCATATGCTGTTCGACTTTCCAGATGGTACCCATCAATGAATAATGCACCAATTTTGAATTCTCGCTCCAGTTCAATGCCTTGGCTCTGGCTTATACATTGTAACCATGAATTGGCTTTGTTGGAGGATATTCTGTTGCTTGGCATATGAATAACCTCAACTTCCAAAGGCTTTAGCAGCCTGGACCTCCAAAAATAATGACACACACTTGGAAGGGTTAAACCTGATTGAAAAATACATAGTCCATCCGTAATTTTGAAAAAAAGTTCGCGCAGCTGCATTGCACAACAACGTAGCGTGGTCACGTCTTGGTGGCAATAGGCAGCCAGTTCCTTGTTGACGTCATACAATCCTCTTTTTAAAGCTTTGTCTTCATTATAAAACTCCATAAAAGCATGTTTTTCTTTATCGCTCATAAATCGGTAGTTGAACTTTTCAATATCCGGATAGTCAATAACTGTGTTCCAAAATTGTGGTCGGTTCAGGACATGTGGAAATTTACCTTTAGTTTCCTCAACGGCGAATGATTTCGCCCAGTTGTCCAATGACAAAGGAACATAATTGAGCGTATCCCGAAAGTTAATGCCAAACTCCCGATCGCGTAGGTGCGTGATTTGGGAACGTTTCATGATCACGTCAGGCGCTTGACCTTTCTGAAGCAGCCATTTCAAAATAAAATAGCCATCGAACCTAGAAAGCCCACCACTTTATCCGTAAGCTGTATACTTTCAACGTATTTCATGTTGTGTGAAACAGAAGAACAAAAATTTCTTACCCTCTAAAGTTATGTGCCAAACAAAAAAACCCCGCATGCTTTTCTTGGAAAATAAATTCACATACATCGCCTGCAATGTCCTTGCCAATATTGCTGATGTCCTCGGGAAATTGGCGGGTTTCAATGGGCTTTCCATCTTCCTGCACTTGTATTACACAAAAATTTGGGACGTGCTTTCCATTACCGTCGGGGTACGTCTCGAAATCAAAGTACATGAAATTGGCAGATTTGTGCTTGGCTAATACTTTGTCGTCAAGTTTCTCTGGTTTTATATAGCAGTCATGGTGCTCCGGTAATACATAACACAGGCAAACCGAACAATAAATCTCACCGCACACATGGCCTGGCCCGTATCCTCGTTTCACGTTCATCTTTATGAATGCCGAGCATTCTATGCAGACCTTGAATTTTTCACAGATGCTTTTCTTTTTGTTATGGTTTGTGCTTTTCGCTGTCGTTGCAAGGTGGTGGTTAAAACACTCGTTGTTTCTAAAGCCCGTTTGATTGCATCCCGCACAATATCGCGCAAAGTTGGCTTCCAGCTCACACTTCTCGCGCAAGCAAAGCTTGCAGGTATATTTACAGCGATGATCACCTTCGTGAGAGTACCCATGATTACAATGAAAACACCATTTGCTTTTTTCGTACCACCCTTGAAGAGATGTTAAAACGTCAAAATGATTGGCGTAATACAATAGCATTAAGCGTTTTTCCCTGAATTTGCCAGCAAAGATAATGCTGTTAAGCTGTTCCAGTCCAACAATTATGATTTGATAATCGCTTAGTAACTTTTGAAAAGTCCCTACGTCGTCCAGGCTGTAGCGCCGCTCCGTCAGGCCTGCAGCTATTACCAGCTGTTTCGCCAATAATGTCTGCTGATCCTTATGCTGCTTTTCTGGGTGCTTATGTGCCCTGGTGTAACGTAGCGTTGAATATAGTTGCAGATCTTCATCTGCTAAGGCTTTAGCCGTTACTAGGGACCGTGGTAAACATAAATTGTCGTCGTTCTTTATACGAACGATAGACATTTTGTTCTTCAGTAGCCTTTTAACGCTTTCAGGAATCACTAGATTGTCATTACCTCCACCATCCGGCGTTTCTGTGTACTGGACTTCAATCCTGAAGCTTTCATCCAAGCGAAAGCTTGTTGAACTTTGCATCACCCGTTCAACGCGCGCCATGATACGGTCCACAGTTAGTTCGTCCCGCCGCATTAACGGTGTCCAAATAGGAATTTTCTTCGCAAATGATCGCTGTATAATTGCACGCGTACCATATACCAAGGCTGAATTTTGTCTACCAAAATTCTGTTAAGCAGTTCTTCAAAATGCTTTCTATCACATTACAGAGGCGTGAAAACGGAACATCAAATAAATCTGATGCGATGCGGCATTGAAAACACTCAGAGCAGTTTTCCATTTCCCAGAATACGTATCAGCTACTTTTTCTAACAATAAACTTTCTTCCGATATCTGCGGTAGATCATGTTCTTCCATATCATCCCCGTCAGAAGCGTTATCCTCAGCCATTTTATCGTTCAAAAACGCCTCACCGAAAACCAGTTTACTAATTGTAGGCACCAACTTTACGCCAGCCACGACGAAATTATATACCACACAATTTTATTGAACCTTACTTTTTATAAGCAAGTTTGGGCACGCTTAAGTTAAAGCAACCAATAACCAAACAGATGTACGTACAATTAAAACACAATTAAGCGACTTTGACCTTTCACCCGTATATCAATGACACATATCAATGAAAAAAAAGAACTCAATGCAATGGTAATAGTTACTCGATCGCTGTTACAGATTGTAATGCCTACGAATGTAACCGCTATACGTCTGTTTCTCTGAAATGTACCAACATTTATGGCAGTCGCAAACCGCCGCCCTGTCCATCGACAAGCTTTTCGCGACCATAATTAATCGATACAACTGATACCGGTGTTCGTTGAGGTAGCCAATGTCATGATTCTGAAACTCCGGCGCATTATGGATATCATCGTACAGGCTGAATCCTTGGTTGGAGGTCACCTTCCGCATAATTCGTTCGATGGCTTTGTAGCTCATGCAATCCAAACGGCTAAGCCACCACTGACCAATGATATGCCAGACCATCCGGATCCGGGGCATGAACGGGGTTTTTTTCATTGCAAAATGTAGCATAGATATCAGCTCTTCTGCGACTTGTGCCACGTGATGCGGCTGGTTGGCTCCCCGGACAAAATCACCACTCATCAGCACATAACTAAGGACATACGGCTTCTATGTATACTCCCATAGCTCAGTAAAAACAAAAAAAAATAAATGCCGCTGACCTTTTCAACTCTTCTTTCTTTTCATCCTTCTTCTTATACCTTTTACGTCTTTGTTTTTCTTCCTCCTCGTCCTCCTCCTCCTCCTCCGACGACAACGACGACGACGACGACGACGATGGTGGCGACGTTGAGGACCCCGACAACGACGACGACGTCCATCCCGGCTTCCGCAGCCATCCCAGGTTTGCCATCAGTGGCATATCAGGTGGTACCAGTCCGTCTGCTAGATGGTTGAATCCATACATAAATACCTCCTCCAGCTCCAGACTGCGAAGCCACTGGACAGTTTCCAGTACGGCTCGGACACTAATATATCCTCCAATTATGCGAATGCTGGTCAGCTGAGGCGCCAGCTTGTAAAGTTCTTGCATCAGCGGGCAAAAATAGTCATGCATAAGACTTCCAAAAGTGTCTTCGGTTCCCTTTACCTTGAATACAATGGACTGTGTGGAGCTGTCCACTACACAGAAAAGCTTCCGAGCAAAATGCTTGATTTCACAGTAAAGGTAGTTGCAGTTCTTGTGGATTCCGACACCGCCATACGGATCAACGTCGCGTGGAGTAAAGGTCACCACTGCAGACTTTCTTCTCTTCGCGATCTCTTTTGTAGTAAACTCGTTGAAGTACCAATTAACACTGCAACCAAAAGAAGAAGCGTTTAAAAACCACAACTAATACGTTATCAAATTTCACATTTTCAGGTTATCGAAACATTTTGTTTACCTTTGCAAATTGTGCAAATCAATCGGAGTCACGTATTCCAGGATCTCCTCGAAAAGGCTTGGCTGACCAAAACTTGCAGTTCCAGGCCGGCATCATTCCGACGGAAGCTACGGGTTAGCGGAAACTCCAGAGGCGGCTGCTTATACACACTGTTAACCATGGTAACTGCCTGTTTGGCGGTAAACAGTTTCTTGACAGCGGTCCAAACCATCTCCCCGATTTCTCCGTCCTCACCGGCAGAGTTACCACGTTTCACTGGCGGTAACGCAAACCATTCAAGTAGGCTATCCAGCTGGTGTTCGAAACAGTGAGGGAGGTCGTCGGGGATCTTAGGCACATCCGTATCCTTCCAAACCTCCTTTCGAACAGGCCGGCATGCAGTGCATGGTGGTGGATCCGGAGAAGGCGAAGCGTGGACACGTAACCACTTGCCTGAAGCGGCCGGGGCTTCCGTTTGGGCTTGTCGTTTCATTATGTTAAAAACTACACATACAAATTTAATGCAAATAAGAATTTTCGTGTCTGTTGACTGCTATTTATACTTGCCCGATGCTAGTAGCTTGGCGTTTTACTTTTACCGATTGGCACGATAGCTTGTGTTTTTCTTCTGCTTTTTTAGCTGGTTCCTGTGCCACTTATTCAGTTTAGGCTGTACATCTACGGATCTATTAACCTATGACTTTGCTTCTTATATAATTCATCGTACATACAAGTAGCTCAAAGGTCATGTATACCTAAATATTCAGTACACTTGGAAATTTGTACATGTAGCTTACTTTTCATCTTATACTGATTGGCAAGATAGTTTGCGTTTTTTTGCTGCTTTTTTGTATGTCTATTCTGCCACTTACTCAGTTAGTGCTGCACATATGCCGATCTATTAACCTATGGCTTCGCTTAGTACATAATTGAATCGTATATACAAAAAAAGCTTGAAGACCATATAGTCGGAAATGTTTACTGCACTTGTACATTATATAACATGAGAATTATGTGGTTTGCAAAAAGGAAACAGCACAAAGGTAATGCTTTAGTATTGGTACTTTGCTCTTCAAAAGAAGGTTTATATGAAATATTATTTTCAAATGATTCATAACACTTAGACAAATGATTACTCATCTTCTTCCTCTTCGTACAACTCCTCTGAGACTTCCTTGAACTGCTTTGACCAATCAAACATTTTCTCCAACACGGCATGTCTAGTCTTCAGGAACTCCTCTGTGGTGACCGTCTTGGTTTTAGGGCATTCTTCGGTAGTAAATCCCTCCGTATGCATTTTCACGAACTGACGTAGGAGTCCGGCAAGCAGTGACACATCCACGTTGACATGAGGGCGTCGCAGCTTTTCAAATTTCTCCACCAGCTTGCCCCCCATTTCCACCAACTGCTTCCATTTCTTCTGGCACAGCCCCGGTTGACACAAGGCTTTCGTAACGGTATTCCGAAATCTCGTGCAATGGTCATGAAACACCTGCCCCAACAAATCAACAACACGATCGTGTCGACTAGCTGCCTTTTTAAAAGCCAAAAAAATTAAAAAACACTACAAATACTAACCGTTTGCTTTGATTTCTTATCAAATTTGATTTCACGACCATAGGTCCGTGGTACGGCCTTCTGCAAGAACAATTAATACAGTGAACGTGTCAAAAATTTATTTCGAAACCATTACCTTAGCGCCCTTCTTGGATTTTTTGACACTGGTGGGAACGCGAAACATGCCACGCGGCCCAGTTGCGATGATGGGCTCTGGAGTTTCACGGAACAGGCGCGGATGCTTAGTCTGCTGCCGCAACAGTACCACCATCTGGTCCCTGGCATGCTTGGCCTCCACGGTTTCCTTAATGTTGTTCTCCAGGAGAGCTTTGAAGCCCTTCAGTTGCTCTTCCAACGCTTTCACATCCTTCAGGCATGCTTCGACTCCACTGAGCATACTGCTGTATACAGCAGCAGCGCCCTCCTCCATATAACGGTTGCCCTTCAGTACCGGCTCCTAAATGACAATTTAAAAAAAAGTTACAAAAAAATTCGCTACAAGCAAACAAAGGAATACAAACTTGCTTTATTTGTTAATTGAATGATTATTCCTTAGAAATTTGCTTTATATGAAATTAAACAGCTGGGAAGCTTACAGCTCTATCGTATAGCTGATGCTTCTCCTCGATCGTCAGTTCCTTCAGGTGCTTTAGCACCTCCCTCTTGAACGCTTGGTTGCCGCCCCGTTTGTTGAAAATGGGAATCCGGCACCCCTTTCCCCACTTCTTCTCCACCGCCTACAAATGAACACAAAAACAGCGAATCAGCCAATACTAGGAAAGTGCACTCGCTTTTAGCGGGCACTGCATGACCGAAGCGTAGCGGGATCATATAGCGGGAACAGGGCTTAGTGCTGACGGTAGCGCGATTTTAGGAAGTTTTTACACACCGGATTTATATCATAGAATTCTTTATTTTTTCGCAATAGGCAAATTTAGACATGCAATCGGCACAAAATGGAAAAACATTTATCGTAATTGCCTGAAACGGTTCATTTCGCGCGCTTTTTGCACAGTAGCTTTTCTTGTTTTGATGGACTGGAGTAAGCTAAAGGAAAACATAGGTTCAATTGCAAGTCCTTTCCATGACTTAACACGTGAAAATCCCACATAAATAAGGCCGGACGCGAATTCGCGGGCTCCAAGGTGCACCACTGCTTGGTTACAAGTTATGCCTTGAGCTTTATGAATGGTGATAGCCCAAGCGAGGCATAAAGGCAGCTGTGTTCTTGCGCACTTCTCCGATTTTTCCGTCCAATGCGTTGTTGTTGGCGTTATTGGAATACAGTTATTCGCTAACGTCGGACCAGTATATTTGTCAAACTCAACCAGTACAGCATATGGTAGACTGTCCGTCGGGGATGTGCCAGGGGAATATACAATTTCTCTTATATAACCCAGCGCTCCGTTAACGAGCCCTTTACTTGTCCACAAATCTCGTTTAAGCACGACCCGGCTACCGCGAGAAAGGTATAAAACCGGTTCGAGACCCATAGCTTGTTCTTCGGTTCCTACAAAAAATTAACCGATAAAAAACACCAACGTTAGATATATCCTTAGAATAACCTTTGGAAGCAGTGCGGCCGTTATGTTCTGCCATAATTCTTGCGACCGGCATGTTCAGCTGTCTTAAAGCGTTGGTGTTGTAATTTCGTGCGGGTTCTTTTTCCGAAAAAAGATGCAATGCTCCCTTGAAATCTGTTTTCTCGTTCTCTGACAGTAGCGCGTACGTTCGGTTGACAAACTTTTCATAGTCCTCGCTTGTAGAGTCGCCAGTTGCGATGCGATCTAAAGCATCCCTTAGGGCTTGTTGATCGGGGTCCGATCCGGTCTGGCGATGTGATGAATTAAGGATGAAACATTTGGTGAATGCGTTTCGGAAAACAAGCTGTCCTTGATCGGATAAATCGCTTGCAAAACCATCACCATATAGCGGTCTGTCCAGTACAGGCGGCAACTGGTTGATGTCTCCGAAAAAATAGACATACATGCCACCAAATGGGAGATCGCATGATTCAGGCTTGGCTTGGCGGCATCTTTGATCCATCTTAGCGAGCAAGGTACACCCTATCATGCTGAACCCATCCACAATAATGCACCGAATATTCTCGAAATCGGACTGGAATCTTGCGAGTTCTTCGTTTTCCAGAGGTACAAACTTCCTGTTAACCGGAATTCTTAGAAGACTGTGTACTGTCATTCCTTCAATGTTATTGGCTGCCATGCCAGTCGGGGCTACAAGCCGGTACGATTGCTCACCGAATCCAGGTTTGCTCTCCAGCTTTGCTCTCAAGAAGGAAATAAGTGTGGATTTTCCACTTCCCGCTTTTCCCTGTATGATTGTACAGCGATGTGGAATAGTGCCATTAAGCTGTTCGTCGAAATAAGCGTTGACTTCCTCTTGTTCACCGGCAAGAGTGACGTTGGGCAACGTCACCGGTTCGTTAACTTCGTCTGCATCTGTTTTAGCCCGTTCAATGAAACTGTCGGCTTCCGCAATATTTGGGTATTGTTGGTAAGCCGCCTGCCAGTCAAACAGTACATCAATTTGACGGGTACCCAGCTCGATAACTGGCGGTGCATCATGCGGACCATGGCCGTGCAGAACCATATACTCATCTTGGTCCCGATTGTTTGGTGCTTCCGCTTCCTCATCCGAACTATCAGGTACTTCGGCCTCTGGTAAATCGTTTTCATGGGCTGGAAGCGCGAGCGCGTTATACGCTTGTTCCCAACTTTGTCCTTCTGCCAGGGCAGTGTTAATGTCACGCCACGGAGAGTGTAGCAGCACTTGCTGGCGATAGTACTCTTCATTTTTCGTTGCATCTGCCGATAACGCTAAGATGGGAAATACTCGTACAACAGCTTCCTTATTTCGAGCTCTTTTTTTCCAGCCATTTTTTGACCAGACAAAATTAGACGCGACTTCCATCAGGCTGGAATGTTCGAGAGCCAGTGCTCTGTTTTTATATTTGCTAAGGATGGTTTTGGTAGATGGGGCATCTGCATCTGGCTGGTCTGCATCGTCGGCAAGTGGAATCCATTCGTCGCTTCTGATAGTAATATTTACAAAAGGGCGGGAACTTCTGTACAAGTCGAATCCCATTAACAGATGCATACATTCTTGTGCTGAGATGTCGCGTTCCGATACCGATTTTAGCAGCAATCGTTGTACCGATCGTTTGGCCATCACTCCGGCTCCAATGTCACTGTCCAGGATGATTTTTAAAATATCCCCATATGATGCGGATCGCGGTTCAGCTTTCGATGCATATTTTGCAACATAGTTAATCACTGCATGCTTGTCAACAACGGGTGATACATCAATATTTGCCCGCCAAGCCTGAAGTATACTTCGGTTGTGCCTGTTTACTCTTGGATCGTTTCTTTTTGGTACAAAGGTCCATCTGCCCTCCGTTCTTTCAAGCATACTAACGGGCACAATTCCTTGAGGGAAATCAAAACGGCATTTCTCGATACCACGTCGTTTCTTTCGCAAGCAAGTCTCCTTTCTGCAGACAGTATGCCTTTGCACTTTATTCACCAGGTGCACGTAATCAGCATTCCAGTCAGTGATACTGTCTGGTCGAAGTTGAGACGGATGGACTGCAGCTGGTGGTGCGCCCATATCCGGGTTTGTAGCAGTGATCAAACCATCGAAATATTCGATTATTCGTTGTCTTCCTTGATTATCCAAAGTATCAAAATTCACCTTGGTGGGCGCATCTTCTAACCACAGCAGTCCATGAAGGTGTACACTGCCACGGTGTTGGTACTCGTATCTGTACCAATAGTCGGCAATTCTTAGCTTGGGCGCAAGAATTTTGTGAATAAAGTGCGTTGCTCTTTCGGAGAAAAACCAATCCGCCACCATTGGGTTATCTTGCAAGAGTTTTGCTCTCAGTTTTGTGCTGGCATTCGTATTTAAATCTTGAAAGTCGACTGTGGGATCCAAAGGTCATACAGTTCAGGCCAGTGCAAGTCTGCAGCGGACAGCGTGAAAAACAGTGTTGGCATTCCAATGGATTTAACCATGTCGATCAATTCCGCGCTACGGTGATACCAATATGCCCTGGTGCCGCGTAGTCTGGAGCCGTAACTCATGATCTGTTTGATTAATGCTGGGTTATTTTGCAGCTTATCTCGTAGTTCCTCTGCCGTTATGTTCCCCAACGCCGACTTCCGCACAAAAAGCTGTCCTGTCCGAAGTGCTTGCCAGCGAAATAATGTGTTCATAGCAAAAAATCTAAACGTTGGATGTGATGCAAACCGTCTTCCTTCATAGCGCATTAGGTGTTTGAAGTATTCGCTTTCAGAAACTGCGACTGTTCTTCCTCGGTTATCACGTAAATCAGCGGCGCCGGTAGGGAATAGACACGGGAACGCTTGTGCAATATAGCCTGGTGTGTTGAACTCGTCGATCGGCTGTGATGACAATTTTGGATACGGAACTTGTGGAATTTCTACACCAACGGCCTCTCTGACTTGTGCCGACTGATTAGTATGCGGTGTGACCACAACCCCAGTGTCATGAATCCGGTCATCCGGTTGTGTGTTATCACACGGTGGTTGAATAGTGGTTTGTAACGTTGGTAACGCGAAGTGCAGATTGCCATCTTCCGGCAGCAGAGATAACGTAGCTTCGTTAATCTGGATATCTTTGTACCATATATTGTTTTTTTTCAGCCAGAGCAGTGCCCGGCGAATACGAGTGGCAGAAACGTTGAATGCAGTATAGTTGTCCATGTCGGTTCCACTGACCAAAATAACTGAAACCAGTTCGTTCACGTTGTGCGGCAGGACTTTCGCAAACGATTCGACATCTTGCATGAAGTTTATGACGTTTCCACTGTAACTTAGCTGCTGACCGCGGCCAATTTTGTAAACTGATAGGACGGGATGAATTCTTGCAATCAAGAGCTCTTCTAGAAAGGTCAGACGTTTCAGCGCTGCTGGTACAGTTCCCGGGTCCATGTTGTTGTTTTTCCCGTATTTCGATATTGCTTTTCTGCAATGCGCACAGCGCATAAGATCGTCCAATTTCAAACCTGGCCATGCTTCCTTGCACACATCACATCTTTGCCACTTTAATGCCATCATATGTTGCTGAAGTGATGTTGCTAACAGGCTTGGGTCCATGCAAGCTCGAGATATCGCGCGAGAGAAACGTCGGGATTGTAAACGTTCAGCTCTTTGTTCAGATGTCTGACCTTGGCGTGCACGTCTGTGAGCCTCTCTATCCCGCCGTTGTTCCTCTGCGCGTTCTGAAAGCCTCTGTTCTCGCCGGCGCGCCATTCGTTCCCGATTTATCGATCTTAAAGTGCGCCCTGCTTGTAATGGCATATTTTGTGTTCGCCGACGAGCAGCAGCCTCTCTGTCCCTCCTCTGTTTGCTTCGGAGTTGGGCAGAGGTCATTGCGGCTCTTCTTCGAGCTTGATTTGCCCTATTGCGCGCACGGGTCTGTTCGGCTTGTTCATGAGACTGCCGCCGCTGACGTTTCCTAGGTGGGGACGGTGAAGGTGACGACGATTCGCTATTCGTCCCTGCAGCACAATTATGATCTATATTGTGGATTTTTCTTAAGTTTGACACGGCATTTTCACCTTGCTACGGACAATTAGTACTCACGGTTTGTTATTTCCTTCTTTCTGGGCCTTTTGCGGTTGCCGGGTACGGGCGCCTTCGGAGCAGGTTTGCGGGCCATCAAAAATTTCGGGTAAGCGAGCTAATCGGCTTACCGGCAAGTTTGCCGGCTATTTACGCATGATATACAGTGACCTTTGTAACAATTTAATTTACAGTATATAACATTACACGACTAATGTCAATAAATAAAGCACTGAAACCATGGAAATAATATTCAGTATTATTAAATGGACAATACTTACACAACGTTGTACATACTTATATTGTACATACTTATTGTTGCACATTGTACATACTTATACAATGTCATGTGGTCAACGCGGTTCAGCGATCGGCGACTCACAGACACCGCATAACGATAGAGTTCCGCCATGGCGGTGACCGACGCACAGACCCCACAGTTTCTTTGTGGTGGGAGTATATACGGCCATGTGTGGAACGCACGTACTGGGCGCCATGGCGGTGACCGACGCACAGACACCACAGTTTCTTTGTGGTGTGAGTATATACGGCCATGTGTGAAACGCACGTACTGGGCGCCATGGCGGTGACCGACGCACAGACACCACAGTTTCCATGTGGCGTGAATATATACGGCCATGTGGGGAACACACGTACTGGGCGCCCAACGAATGGGTTACGCAATGGCGGTGACCGACGCACAGACACCACTTTTTTTATTTTCCTTGAACACAGAAGACCTTCGCTACGCTTCGGTCGAAAATTTACAGGAATTGAAGTGCGCCTGTAAAATTACTGCGGATAAAATGAGCCTATAAAAATTATCAAGGCCGAAAAGTGCCCCACAGAAAATACACAGGGTACAATTCGTCTACAAAATTTACCTGGCTGAAATAGCCCTGTAAAAATTACTCGGGTTAACAAATAGTTTTAAATTTTCAAGCCTCGAGACAATTCCCATAAAATTACAAAGGTTTAAATTCGCATAAGAAAATTGCTTAGGTTTGAAATGCACCTATAAAGTTACTTTGGATAACAAATATCCTATAAAGTTTTTCCGGCCAAAAAGATTCCAAAAAAATTATTGCAATTTAAAAAATCGCCTTTGAAAATTATTCGGGTCAAATAGCCTTACAAATTTTCCCGGATCAAAATTAGTCCACAAAATTTCTTAAGCCAGAAATATTCCCGTACAATTTTGCAGTAATAAAATCACTAGCGGAAATTAATTTGTTTGAAAATTACCCAAACAATTTCACCAAAAGACAAATAGCCAATAAGATTTCTAGGGCCCTAAAGATTCCCATAAAATTATTGCGGTTACAAAATCACCTTCTAAATTTATTCGGTTCAGATAGCTTCAACAAAATTTCACCGGATTCAAATTAGCCCACAAAATTCCTCCGGCCAGAAATGTTTCCGTAAAATTTTGCAGTGTTAAAATCGCTAGCGGAAATTAATTCAGTTGAAAATTACCAATGCAATTACAGCGAAAGAAAAAACACTCCATAAAGTTTTTATGGCCGTAAAGATTCCCATAAAATTACACTGGTTTAAAATAACCAACACAAATTTTTAGGTTAAAAATGTACCTATATAACTACACTGGATACAATAACAGATTCAGAAATTTCTCAGACCTTAAATATTCCATTAAATTTAAACAGCGTTAAAATTGACTGCAAAAATAAATTCAAATTGCCAATGCAATTACATTGCCAATGCAATTACACCGAATGAACAGCAGCACATAAACTTTTTCGGGGCATAAAGATTACCGTCAAATGACACAGGGCTAAAATCGTCTACAAAAATTTGTCCGGTTTAAAATTGCCAATGCAATTACACCGAATGAACAGCAGCACATAAACTTTTTCGGGGCATAAAGATTACCGTCAAATGACACAGGGCTAAAATCGTCTACAAAAATTTGTCCGGTTTAAAATGCAGCTATAGCCCTACAACGTTTAGAAAAAAACGTGTACGAATATTTTGCGTACAAATACTCGAAAAGTTAGCTGCGGTGAGAATTAACTACAAAAGCTATCGGGTTGAAAATATATCTACAAACTCACACGATTACATAAATTTTGGCCTGTACAAATTATGCGGCGCATCGAGGCTTACCCTGGCCATTGTAGCAGTTACGGGTAATTTAGGCTTAACCATGGTTGCAGTTGCAGGTATAGCGCCCTTCCGGTCCAATGTAATACGCTGTTGTAGTAGAAAAACCGATAGGTGACTGGGAATACACAGTTCGGCCACCGGAAGTAGTTTGGGATGATTCCTGTTACCGGAAATGACGCGGCCAGCTGTAGCCTACATTGCATGTACATAGCGATACTACACAGGAAACGACGCTTTAAACATACATACATACACAATATTACAGCCAAGTATACGTCGTTACTACTTACGTGTACCAAAGGATGAGGTTCGCACACCAGGTTCAGTTCCTCCCGTTAAGCCAGTAAAGAACAGTAATTATTTCAGGTCGCCATGCAACGATGCTCGTGCTATTATAGTGCGGGAACATGAGTGGGTCGCCAAGCGTGTTGTGCTGCTGTATGCAATGGCACCGCATGGCCAGACATACATGTATATGCATGCCACGCGGTGAGGGATCAAAGTCCCTTTTCCGCGTGCTGGCTGGTGGCTGGGTAAATGAGCGCTGCGAGAACATTTTCTTGCAGAGTGATATTTGTTTTGGTTTTTTTGTTAATGTGCCCAGTGATACTGCTCAAAAATCTGAAGGATATTATTGCTGCAAGTACACAGTTTGAGTAGCAGGCATACCATTGGAACATACTGATTTTACCCTTTTATTAACAGACAGTGCCAGTCTGCTCGGTAGATGTCGTTTCGATGCATGTAGGGAACTTGTACCCGTTTTGAATCGCTTCACGGCAGCGGTGATACTACCAGCAGGTAATATCGAATCGCTTCACGGCAGCGGTGATACTGCCAGCAGGTAATATCTATGTATTTATCTATAATTTTAGCGATTCTTTTCTGATTACCAGTGATTTTTTCTGATTTTTTAAATTTATTTTTAAAAAACGGGACGTCATCCCGGGACGCTCTTATCAGCGTCCCACATCTAAATGCCGGTCGAGCCTAGTGTATTACTACTGTTATTATTTTTGGGGCTTTAGGCTTCAGCATCTGTCATGTAACTGCAGCTACCCACAAAATAGCAATAATTAACTAATTCCTTTTGGTTTCAGCAGGCGCGCTAAAATATGTAGCTTTAAGCACTCGCAGGAATTATCTGTATGTGACGCTGTAAGAGGGGTGCAGCAATACCGGAACCGCTGCGATTTGCCTGGTTAATTAATTCCCGAATAAAATGTGCGCTCTGTCAGTGTCATGGACCTTAATTCATTCACACAAAAGCGGGACAGTATCGCTAGTCGCAGAGAGCGTCACTTTCGGCAATATAAAGCGGGACAGCGACAGCGTTGCGCAATCGAAGTAGCCAAAGCTCCGTGGAGCTAGAAGTCCAACAAAGCCACTAAATATGCGCGCTTGATAAAGGGTAATAGTATTCCGGATAGCAATCCTTCGCTGTACGCTAATAAAGTAAAAACTGCATGAAAGTGCAGCATCGTCAGTGGGTTACAGTAAGTATTAAAAAATAAGTTTCCTAACTTTGACACATTGATTACAATTAAGTACAGTATTTGCAAGATGAACAGCAAGTACTGTGTAATTTATTTCTTCTATTCCAAGATCCCGGCACGTTGTAACAACGTTTACGTTGGCGGCAATGTGATACAACACAATTTTACGGAGCTTGAGGGGCAACAATTACGGCGAGGAATTTATTTCTGGCTTAATTAGTTTCCGGATAAACGCACTATCAGAACCGCTAACTCATTCACGGAAAAGCGGAATACTGCCGTTAACGGGAAAGAAGAGAAGGCATAGCGATGGTTCAATGAAAGGTTAGTGTGCCTGTATGCAGAATGGAGAACATCCGTAGTCCGATCATGGATGTAGTCAACAACCCTGCGAACATCAGATGTTTGATGAACCTGTGCACGAGAGTAGTATACCGGCCGTGGGCAAGCATCCCAGTAGTGTAAATAAAATTAAATTTTTGCGGTGAACAATGCTAAATCTGACGGCAAAAAACGTCTCCAACGCAACCTCTGTCCATGCAGTGGCCCATCTTTGATGGCTTGATCACCTACTGGTCGTTCTGCTTCCAATAGAAACCTTTTACCTCGTGGCCGTTGTCAGTTTGTTTTTGTCCAGTGAACGGTTGCGAATATTTATTTATTCAACATGCTGCTGTGTTACATAACGACGTTCTCGTTGAAGTGGGCCACCATCTTCCATATGGAGATAACGGGGCGTGCTATGGAAACTAGTGTCGGTTGGTACGGTACGCGAATTTTGTACCTGTGGGTCGGTGATCCCCTCGCCGCTTCCGGGCACGTGCTGCTGGCCCTCAGCCGCGTCTGGGCGGTGACCTTTCCCATCTCCTACCGCAAACATCACACGAAACGCGTGGTCATTGCTTCCCGTATCGTCTTGTGTGTAGTTGCGTGTGCAACCCGTCTACCGCATTTTGTTCTGACCATCACTGAACGCGCCGGCGCACAAGGGAAAGTGTGCGTGATCCCAGTGCAAGTATATTCCTTGTTTTTCTCTATTGCTCGATGCATCTCCTTAGCCAGTCTGGTCATCGTGTTTGGGTCGGTGCCATATGTGCTTCTCTTGCGGCGAATTAAAAGGAAAGAGTTATTGTGTGTTTAACTGCTCCTGGTAAGAAAATTCTTGCGGAAAAATTTTTTGGCGTACAGCAGCGGATGACCCAGGTTGTACTGAAAGTCTGTAAACCTATTAATGAATTATCTGCAAGTTTGACCGCAACAGCTGTATCGACCATTACAGTATTTCCAACAGCGCAGAATGATATCTCTGTGACAAAGTCTGCAGACGTAGCTCGATAATTAATAGGAGTTGGCGAAAAGCCGGGCCTGGTCTATGGTGTGGTTACTGTGTTAAACTGGTCTGACGTGGCTTTTATTAGTCTTGTTTTTTCGTAGAGCCTTCAGGAATTCGGAAACATCCCTCAGGCCACAACGGCAGGAACGCCATTTTCTTAATCTCATCAGTAATCACTCTTGTTATCTGGGGATTCTCCTTGAGTGCGGGGTATTTTTTCTCGAATTGGCGACTGCTAACTTGAAAAGGCACGAGCTCCAGTCCAAAGAGCAGTCGGTATCACGGAGGTGCTGCCAAATTAAATTAAGCTTTGAGCAGCGTAGAACGGAAGTAGGCCGCGATGGATGTCAATCTGCTCAATAATCGCCAAGAAAACATGTTTTTGGCAAACCGAAAACTTGTTATTGTAATTTGTTTTCAGCTACTGAATTTTTGTAGCAAATCATAATTCAACCTAAAATTGTAAGTTCGATTACACGGGCATATCAAATCAGTGCTATTCAGTCGGCACGCACATGTGCATCCAGAGTTTATGATGCTGTTTGGTTTCGTTGATGAACGGTGGTCATTGATCCCTAATCAAGGCGATTCTATTATTTTACTGAAACTAGTTTAAAAACTGGGTGCAGTTAAATTTCTGCAGGCCTAATACGTTACCGATACAACAATTTGTTACCGTTACCGCTTTCTAAACCACGCAAAATCCAATTTCGTTTGTCCCATAAATGTTTACAGGTACACCTAGCCGTGCTTACATGCGTGTTTTTGATTTCGACGATGCGGTTAATTTCCGGTTGACCCGCTTGCAGTCTTAGTCTTACCATGGTTAGTTGAGCCGTTCTTGATTCACGAAAAAGACAAATGAAATCTTGAATTTTAATCCAGTCCATCTTCTCCTGATTACTCGCGTTATGAGGATCTATAATTCTATAAGAAAATGCTTTGCTCGGACCTTTGCATAACGCGCGTAGGCTAGCATCGCTTGCAATTAAACAGATTCAGATATCAAATCATCTTTTTAAGTATCGTTTTTTAAACTAATTATTGAGTAGATTACGTACTAGATATTTTAAAGTCAGTATTCTGGAAAAATGTCTCGTAAGATCTCCTGTCCAAGGCAAGCCGCAGCCCCTTTCCGCCGGTACTAACGCCGTCTTCTAACCTCCAAAGCCGTCAGCTTTGTCATGTAGTGATCTATCCTTTGTTCCAGTTATCGGCTGCTCATGGAAAGCGTCTGGCTAATCGGCAATCTTAACGGCATTTTGAACGCTACCGTCTTTATCCTGTGCTCGCCGGTGGCTAGGAAGGTGTTCTTGGCCAAACTAGGTTTAGACTACTGGAATGAGCGCTCTTTGGGCGGAACCCAAAGGACGGCATCACCAGCGCAACACAGTCCGGTTAAACTTATCCAAATATCCACCATTGATCGACCAGAAAAACAAAAGAAATATTTTGGTAACCTTAATAATATGCGCGAGTATCCGCTTAAGGGAAGTGGCCCGGTACATGGTACCAAATTCGTGTACATGCACGAAACGTTGACTTTCGCGCACTCCCAAACACATTTTTGTTTCGTTTATGACATTCTCTAGCCAGAAGATTTGCATACACTGCCATGATAACCGTTTGTGCGCGCAACATCCGGTTCGGACTTATGACTGCAGTGAAACTCCTCTTAACATTCACCTTCGTATAACATTCACCCCTTTACAGCTATAACATACACCATTTATGAAACCGACAACAGTTTTACCGGCTTATTCACCCCTTACATAACATACAGCTGGCTTAACCAGCAGACAGCTTTTAAGGCTCTTTTCAAATAAAGTTCCGGCTTCTGTTATCAGCCTGGTCAGTACCGGATCTTTCGATTCCGAACATGCAAAGGGTGTAAAAACCAACGTTCAGAATGAATAATTTGTGTAGTCTAGTGTTGTACTTGGCAGTACTTGTTGAGTTTTTGACAATCAACTTGTAAAGAAAGGCAGAATTTAACGGTTTTAGACTTTGAGTGATTCAAAGCTGCCTCGGTACCGTGCTTGTTTCTATGAACAAATAAAACGCGTATCTTTAATAAGTATCGTGTCATAAGTACAAACGTAGTACTAAAAAAACATTTATAACAGAAACACTTCCTCAGTGCTATCCTGCTCGGGAATTGTACCCATTACACAAATCGCATTCCCCCGTTGTATCTGTATAGAAAGTCGCTGTCTAAAAAACTCTTTCGCGCGTTATAAACTCTTTCGCGCGCTTTCGCGCGTGAACAAATTATAAACATGGCCTACCCCCGGCGGCTATACCCCTAAGGGCAGCGCCCTTAGGGGCAGTGCCCCTATTTAACATACACCCCTCTGCAACATTCAGAAAGGCAAGATCGGAGGGTGTATGTGAAGTTTCACTTTATCAGAAAATTCCAAAAAGTTTAAATGCGTTCAGGTGTACCAAAAGTCTCATTATGGACCGATCCCCCTCAAATTTTGCACGTGAATGCGCATAACCACGAAGAACGTTTTTACACCGATCCACTCCTCCAGCATGTTGTTCAAATTTTAACACGAATTTTAAAAATTTCAGAATTTATTGTAAACTTTTCAAAAAATCATGGAAGTCTGGATCGGTGCAAAAACGATCTTAATGGGCATGCGCGTTTACTTGCAAAATTTGAGGTCGGTCCATAATGAGACTTTTGGTACACCTGAATGCATTTAAACTTTTTGGAATTTTCCTAGCAGCCAGAAGTCCCGAACCGAAGGTTACGCGCACAAACGGTTTTCTCGCCAGTGTATGCAAAGCTTCCTGGCTACAGCATGTTATAAACCGAAACATTTTTTTATAAACCGCGCGTTTTACATTTATTGGATCTACTTTTGCCAAAATATCAGCAGCGGTTGCCGGAAATGCAGAACACGATCTCCAAGAAACTTCCCAATATGTATCCTGATTAATAAAACGCTACCACTGTGTATCAAAAGCGCGAGTTCATTTCCCTCCAAGTTCTGTTTTTAAAGGCTGACCCTTTTAGATATATTTGCCATACTTCTCTTCCAGTAAATTCGCATGTACAAGGTGAATTATGATGAATTGTTTGCGATACAATTTTCAAATCACACGAATGCTCCTTTACCAGTTTAAAGTTACAGTAGAATTGAATACCTCGCTGCTTACTGCGCCAAAGTGTTTCGTCACGCTATCAACATCTCGCTCCATTCACCTTGAGAGACACACCATAATTAGCCTAGGCGAACGTGCGTGGATGATTCAACTGCTACGGGATGTGTGCGTGAATCGTAATCTCTTAAACGATGTAGAACGGATGTTAAATGGATGTTCATTTGTTACTCGATATGCGAGCACATTGGTCTCCAATGACTGGAGAAAAGTTCCTTTCTCCTTAGTAGGCTCTACTTCTTTCTTCCAGGAAAACCATGGAACGATTTTCGATTTTTGTAAACATTCACTCCTTTTGTAGGGCAAATGATGAGTAAGTAGTCGTCTTGATAATCACTGGTTGGTTCTGTTTTTCGGATAATGCCTTTCTGCTTCAGGATAAGTTGATTGGTTATCTGTTACCGTAGTTTCAATTCCACACAAAATACTAAATACTGATTTTGGGCTCGCCGGCCAGCAGCAGTAGCGTGTAGTAAAGTTTTATTGTATCGTTGACGTCAGTGACCAGAAACAGAATAATTCGGCTCAGTAACAGAGCGGCAGCAATATGGGAGCCGCTGTAATCTTCTTGGTGTAATTAATTTCCGGATAACTGTCATGAACCTTAATTCATTTACGCCAAAGCGAGACAGTGAGTGCATAACGTGTGCAAAGAGCGTCGCATGCAGCAACACACGCAGCATTGAGTGAGCGGAGAAGGTTAACGTGTTAAACCCCGCGCCATCCAATCCCGCTTATGTTCCCGCGGAGCCGGACATTTTGGTGATTCAACTAAGCAGGTTTATCTGCTCGCTCAATTCCAAATAAATTTATTCTGAATAGCTGTCTTCATATTATATTATTTAGTCAAAGATGTTAAACTTTAATGCACAGAACTCTTCCAATGTAATCGGTGTCCATGGAGCGGCCTCTATCGGATGGCTCAACCATCTTCTAACTGCTCTGGTTCCACTCGAAACCATCTATCTCATCATGATAGTCAGCGTGTTTCTATCCAGCAAGCGTCTGCAAACGCCTTTCAATATTTACCTGATAAACATGTGTCTCTGTTGGATAGCTTCGTTCACACTGAAATGCGCCACGCTATTCCACATGGAGATCAGCGATAGGCCAACAGAAACCAGCGTGGGCTGGTGTGCCACACGGATTCTGTACCTGTGGATCGGTGATCCGCTGGGTTCCTCTGGGCACTATCTGCTCTCACTGAATCGCATCTGGGCCGTGACTTTTCCCGTCTCCTACCGAGCCCACCACACAAAACGGGTGGCGATTATTGCCTGTGTTGTCCTTCATGCTGTTCTGTATGCTACACGCTTACCTCATTTTGTCCTGACTATCACCGAAGGTGCCGGCGCTGAGGGAAAACCGTGTATCATGCCGGGAAATATTTTTCCGAGGTTCTTGTCCTTTGTCCAAAATATTTCCTTAGTCGGACTGGTGATTATATTTGGAGCGGCACTTTACGTCTTTATCCTGCGAGTAATTAAGCGGCGAAACGTTGTCCCTTCTGGTGCGTTCTACTATGCCATACGGCTTCCAGAGTTTATTTTCTTGTAACTTTTAGCTAGTGAAGTTTCGGATCGCTCTCGACCTTTTTAAACAGGTTTAAAAGTTTTCGTTAATTAAAATTAAGGGATTTGGCCCGGTACATAGCACCAAGTTCGTGTACATCCAGGGGAACTTTCGCTGTTGCGCGCTCCCAAACACTTTTCCGAATTGCTTTATGGTATTTTGTAGCCAGAAGAATTGTATACCTAAGTGAGAAAACCGTTTGCGCGCGCAACATCCGGTTGCGAAGTTATGAGGGTATCAAAATTCCAAAAAGTTTAAATGCATTCAGGTGTACCAACAGTCTCATTATGGACCGATCCCTTTCGAATTTTGCACATAAATGCACATAACCATGAAGATCGTTTTGACACAGATCCAGACTTCTACGATTTTTTTCAAATTTTAAAATGAATTTCGAAAACTTTAAAATTCATTTTAAAATTTGAAAAACATGCTAGAACAGTGGATCCGTGTCAAAACGATCTTCATGGTTATGTGCATTTACGTGCAAAATTCGAAAGGGATCGGTCCATAATGAGACTTTTGGTACACCTGAATGCATTTAAACTTTTTGGAATTTTGTTACTCTCATAACTCCGCAACCGAATGTTGCGCGCGAAAACGGATTTCACACCTATGTACATCAATCATTTGGATACACAATGTCAAAAAGCAACCCAAAAAAGTGTTTGGAAGTGCGCGAAAGCGAATATTCCCGTCAATGTACACGATTTTAGCGCTATGTACCGGGCCAAATCCCTTAAAAAATCCTTTAGATCTGGTTTTTGTCAAGGTCCTTTATCAAATTTATAATTCTTTAACAAAAGAGCAAATAACAGCCTAAATTTTATGAACGATACTTTGTTTAAACAATTTTGTTTGCCATACAGAAGTACCTCAGTTACCCAACTTAGCCCAAAGAAACGGTCTTCAAGCCGATGTGTCCAAGTCTTGGCTTTACCACGAAATTAAACAACATTAAAACGCGTTTCTGAAGAAAGTAATAGTGTCAAAGAATGTATACAGAATCGGTAGCGGTAGGTGACAAATCAATCGAAATTTCAGCTAAACTGTGGGTTGCAGGACCGGAAGCGGTGGGGAAAGTGCTGACAGCGGGCACTAATACAGTATTTTTCACCTCTACGGCCATCAGTTTTGTTGTTTGGACTTTCCTTATTACTTCGGTGCACTTCTTCCCGAACTGGAGGCTCTTAACGGACATCAGCCGATTATTTGGTAATCTTAACTGTGTACTGGACGCGACGGTATTCGTCTTCTGCGCTCCAGCGACGAGGAAGGTTTTCTTAGCAAAGCTGGGATACGGCAACCTGGGTGAAGAGCATTTCAGTATGCAACTGAAAAGTGCATCGTCACCGCATAACTAATCCTATTTCATGCGGATTGCCGGACTCTTTAAAGACAGCTCAGAGTTCTGTTGCCCTAATTAACAATGAGATCTTAGAATTTCATCGGTGTTTGACCTACTTTTTATTTACTGTAAAAATTGTGCAATAACCTTTTACACCTCTGCGCATACTGACTCGTTGGCTTCGTCAGTTAATTAGTATACATATATCAATAATACAAAAATTGTGGGTATTTCGACATTATGTAGAAATGTACAGTATTTGCAAACTCTAATAAACCTCCAATAAAATTCTTGTTATTTTTGATTTGCCGGTACAAAAGCAAGCTTTCAACCCACAGCCGATCTAATCACCTATGCTCCGGCAATCAAAATCTAGTCAATCAATAATTATCAACTAATGAACAACCTTACGATTGATGTATTGTTTACAATTTTCGGGACTTGTTGTTTGACTTTTTCGGCGAAAATGGGAATACTGAAATACAGTATCTCAAAAACATTTCCCAGAATGAGTTGGTGCTAACGGGAAGCATCTCGTACTATGCTTTCGTATGCTTTATGCAGTACAAATATTGTGGCGTAGTGCAGTGGCACTGATGTCACGAGAATGTTGTGTCCGCTATGTGGTGTGTTGTCCAGCATGGCAACTGCGGTGGCAGTGCCATTGTTGTCCTGATGACAACGATCAGTTGGTTGTTTGCGCCCTCAGTGGCGGTTCATAATAAACACATTATGCCGCCACCTCAAGTCGTGACAAATATGAACCGCTCACTCCAGCTAATTTTGAGCGTTGCTGCGGCCCGGAGGTCGTGGTGCAACTTCGATGATCGAAATCAGCTGAAACTGAACAAGGTTCGTAAATGTATAGTGCGATATGTACTTCTAGACCACTGACAGTTGTAACTCCAGTCTCTGCAAGCTGCAAGAAAAACCTGTTTGTCTGCTAAAGCGATATTACCGCAAGTATCGGAAATTGAATTTGCCGGTTTTTCGTTTAAGTAAAACTACTGTAACAGCATCAAATTTTTGCATGCCAAACTTTTTCTTCGGGTCTGTGTAGAAGAGTGTGTTATCCTGTCATCTGTTGGTTAATACGGGCGTGCATCATGCTTTTTCACTGGCGTGTTTTCGTTATTTGGTTATTCGGAGTTTTAGCATATTCTGTACAGGAGAGTAAGTGGCATTTAAATGTCCAGGGTATGCTGATAAGCCATGCGGCCCATGCTGACAAATATTGGTCAAGCGTTAGCGCAGCAACGTCTTTCTATATAGAGAAAGTTACCAATGTCTGTTTGTTACGGAAGTTCCCGAAAACATGAAGATTATTATAGTATTAGTAACATTTTTATGACATCATACATTACCATTACCATTGCAATTTGCTGATAGTTAGTCCGATACGGAAGCGAAAAACGATGGCATGAGATGGGTTGCGGCCTTCCATTGTGTTTATAAGCCGTTCAGATGCAGACAATTTTCAAGATAGTACTGTTGAAGGATGTTGATGACTTGGGACTCGTGAGGTGCCCGTGGGTGGTACCAAATCCATAGAATTTTCCGAAAGCTCGATGAATTTAAGAATAATTTCAACAAGTACGATGCAAATTGAACAGGTACTGGCATCGTCAGGACACCTGGGTGGCAAGCCGAAGCCCGAAGTTACCAAAAGTCTGCCTACTTTTGGTAACTTCGGGCTTCGGCTGAATTAAGGTGTCCACACGCACTGGCGTAATGCACGTTTGATGCAAATCACATGAAGTAGAGCAAAATGTTATCATTTAAAACTGAAGTGAAACGTATCGATGAATTTTTCGTTTTGGCGGTTTGAATGGCGACAGTCGACTACATATACTTCATGCCATGAAACATCTAGCACGGCACCCGCCCGGTGTATCGGCAATCCACCCGCCCACGGTAGTGGTAGGGAGCGATAGCGATTGGCCAGAAAGTTTCATTCATGAATGAAAAGGAAGGATTTCCCCTCCTTCTTCATTCACTGATTTTTTGGATGAATTCACGTGATCGTCATCCAGATTTTCGTTTCCTGCATACTTTGAATTCATTCAGTGCATGATGATTTCTACACATAGTTGCTGCTGAATGATAAATTTGAATGAAAAAACGTGTATTCATTCAATGCATGTGGACACCTTTACATAGAGTACCTTTACTGCGCTCCTGTGGACTGTTACTAGCTTAAACGCACAGGGATAAATAATAAAAGCACATCTTCAGTCATTCTATCGCTCTGCTCTGCGTACTTATACAGTACAAAAGTATGCCACATAAATACAGAAAAATAATCAGAATAATGTTAATATTATTAATCATAATTATGGAAGACTAACGAGAGGCTTTGGTCGAAGACAGTTTGTTTCAAGTATTATGCAGAAGACATTGCACTGTCGCTGTGCAGCCAGTGCAAGTTTCCTGATGGTCGCGTGTGTTAGCAGGGCAGATAGCGGTGCTAAATCCACTTCCGGTCGACAGCACTGACTGGTGCGCAAAAGGCATATCTCTTGCTCTCTGTTTCTTTATTCTAACATGCGGTAAGCGGCATGATGGACATGCATAGATGGTGTGCGGCCTGAGAATACGGCAGTCCCTCCCGAACTCCCCAGCGGCGTCATGGAGCCTTTCCCCATTTTCAACTGCGCCCCTTTGACGCGGGCCGAATGCGACAATATGGTAATTCTCCGGTAAGTAAAATACGACTTCACCCGATCGGAAGTTTACCGAATATCTGTGCGCGTGTGTGCTTTTGCGCGGCAGGATGGACAGGTGCCTGGATGAACAGGTTATCGATTTGGACCTGCAGAAAGGCGCGCTCGGCGCAATATCTCCAACCGGGGTCGCAATATCAGCCTGGGCATACAGAAAATCCCCAACGACCGCGCCGTAATCTTTGGGATCGCCGCAGACGATTTGATCGTGCCGGAGCTGGTTATGACAGTCGACTTACACACGCTCCCCGAGCCCATGTTCCTTTCGCAGGCGGTTACGCCCATTGCTAAGCAAATCATTAGCTTCGCTCTGTACAACTGTCACAAGATCGCTTGCACCACTAAACTCGCGGCGCTGGAACTATCCAACCTGCTGAGCTTCACACTAAACGGATGTAGCAATTCGGCGCACCCGCGGTTGCGCCGCGAGGATTTCGCACCTTCCCCCCACCTCCGCAGTATCGTCATCACCGACTGTGCGCCCTATGATCTGGACGCCTTCACCTTTACCAACCTCCCGGACCTTCAGGTGTTGGCACTGGAAAACCAACTGACCGCCTGTTCTAACACTTCTAGCAATGCTGCGCTGGCGCATCTGCGCAATCTGCACTGCGGTTGCCAGTACGCCTGGCTGCGGGATCTTTTCACCGCCAAACCGGGGCTGCTGGCGGAGCGGCCCGAAAACAGCGTTTACCAAGTGTGCAATGCCGGCAACCCCGCATTTAAGAAGGTGGACTTATGTATCTCATGCGAAAGATCGAAAGAGTTGAAAGGCCCGAACCAAAATTAATGTACGCACTTACAGCGTATGCTGCTGCTAAATACGTAATGACATAATTCTATAATTCTCTACATACGTACAATGCGCAGATGAATCGAATAATTTTGCGATGAGCATCCATCGAATTGGGCTGGTAAAATTGCATTACTTACTTAATATTCGTATAAAGGTCATAATGGTGAAGGTAATGCATGACAGAAAAACACAGTAAATTACTGCATAAAAACTGGATGATACCGAACGCATCCGAAATCTTTCATATCAATGGCGTTTGTCTGGTATCAGTCAAATCTTTAAATCTAAATCTTTATGCAACAGCCGCGTCCAAAAAATATGTCAGATTAGTGCTACCATGATTATACTACAGTACTACACGACAATTGAACAACCTTTTAGTGTAAACGGGACAAAATTTTTAATCTAAAGATGACTGTATTTCATTTCTTTATTTATGGAATTTATAGTGTTTCTGAGTGCTTAAGTAAGATATCCATGGAGGCTTAGAAATTCCTGCCATTAATAGATTTTTTTGCATCCGATCCGTCATAACAATTGTTAATTCCCTGACTTTTCCGTCACATTTGTTAAGCAAAGAAAATCATGTAAGCTGTATGTCAGGAAGGTTACTCTGTTTGCAGAGTCTTCTTACCCTGCAGTCTGCATACTTCATTATGATAACATTATCGTACACAAGTTCTTGCGGCAAAGTGGAAATTAAAATTATAAACTTACGGGCACCAGCAATGCGGTCAGCGACAGCATTCAGCCAGTCTCCTCCCGCTATGCATGCATATATAAGTAAACGACAAAAGTTCTAATAATACGGGCTTGTTAAGCAGCTAGGTATAAAACCCTGCCGGCACTTATGCAGCAGTCGGTGCAGTTGGCAGTACATAACATTGGCCGGTTGTGGAGCGAAACAATTCAGGCCTGGCCCCTTAAAGGTATGTCGCTCATTTACTTAACATACGATCTGTACGGATTACGAGTAATGTTCGAGGAAAAGTGTCCGCTACAGATCCATCTAAACGACGTTAAGGCACTAACAAGCAGCATTTATTTCCGCAAAACATGGTAATACGTACGCTCCGGCCAATAAGAAACATGGTTTCAGTTAAGGTACAATATTATAATTGTAGAAGCAAGTTTTTGTATACTAGAGAATATTGTTTGTGTTTTCAAGTATAGAAGTACGGTATATACACCTATATGTAGAAGCAAGTTTTCGATACTAATACTCCACATCGCCAGCAGCTGTGCAGACATGTTCGCCACTTCCAGTGTGTCATTTCAAGGAATCGCGTAATATCAGTGTACCGTCAATCGATGAGCCTAATTTTATAACTTTAAAGTATCGCTTCCCGATTACGATCGAAAGTACGGCCAAATCGAAACACTAAGCAGTAGGCGTTCGAAGCTCCAGCTAGATGTAAAGAACGTCAAATCCGGTTGGAGAATGGAGTGTCGACAATCTTCATCTCAGAAGGCTACTCGCTGCATTCAGACTCTTCTGCTCTTTTTCTTCGTGGCGGCGCACTTCTGCGGCTACTTCCGCAGTCCGTTCATAGCAGTTTGCACTCGCCGCCTTGTTAATCACGCTGTAAATTTGTTTTTACTCTGCTACGTTCTTTTGCAGTCATTGAACGACTGTCTTTTCATCCGTCTTTTCAGTTGGAATATGGATGCGTATCAGAATATGACCGAACTTTTGTTTTCCTTCCGAATGTACCTAGTTCATCCGTTGACGATTACATACGTTTATCTCACCTGGCGCAGTCATCGCTCTCTAATGCGTTTTGTCGACGAACTGAGCGTGTCCTTTGCAAAGTCTATTGAGGCAAGCGAATCAGCTATGTTGGTGCTCTTGAGCTTGATCTTGGTTGCGTTGCATCCGATATTCGCTACAACGACTTCCTACCAAAAGAATCTAGGCGAAATGGAAGCTATGACATTTTCAGTCCTTGAGCAATCGGCTAATACACCCGATTCCGTTATGTTCTGGTTTGTCAACACGTTTTCTCCCTCAGCGCGTATAGCCGTGGTTGTCATCCACGAGATTAGCTACTGCGCCCGGAAGATTATTCAGTGCATGATTATAGTCTTTGCCTGGATTGTGTGGTTAATTTGCAATAAAATAACGGACAAAATCTCCCTGTTGGTAGATGATGTTCAGCTGAACGGTTGTGATGAAATTGACACTTTGTTACATAAACACGCAATGTTATACGACATCGTGAATAGCTTTGACAGATCGTTCAGATGGATCAATTTACTGGCGTATTTGGAAACTTTATCCGTTCTCCTCATCTACGTGTACGAACTGTGCAAGGATTTCCTGGCGCACGATAAGGCCAGCATCCGTGATACAATGCACGTTGTGGTGGCGGTAATTCTGTTAATTTCCCATACTCTTGCACTAACGCTCCTGACGGAGAAGGTACATACATGATACATACACTTCGACTTGCTGCAATGGTTGATTACTTTCACCGTACAGTGTCTTTTTCGAACCGTTAATCTCCCAAGTTTCAAATTTTCTAAAGATACGAAAATGTTTTGAATGAAACTTCCACATAGTCACCAGTCTCTACTGCCTTTTGCACATAAATACGCCAATCAGTAGTCACAATCTCCAAAGAATTCAAAACCCAGGTAGTACAGTAATTACACTGAGTCAGTTGCAGTTCACACGTTTTAGAAACTACATCTGTTCTTTCTGTAACGGAGTATGAAATCAGGGTGTGAAATTAGCACTTATATTCATAAATTAATGTCTCATGAAGAATCGTGGCTTAGTAAAAGAATTATCTTTCTACCTTTTCGTACATTCAGGAAAGTTAAATGCGCAAGCTATCAAAATTTTAAAAATACTTTGCGAAGGTCAGTCTGCATCGGTTGTTGAGAAAACTTGAAAATTCGAAGTGAGTACTACAAATTCTTTACCCACGTTACTGCAAATAATCCCTCTATTTTGCGTTTACAGAAAGAAGAATTTATCAGGTTGTTGCGTTACATGGTCAGTCTGGACGTTGTGCCGGAGCAGCAAAAACGGCACCTGGAAGCTTATTCTCGTCGAATGGAGCTGAAGGATGTCAACATAACTATTGCAGGATTACACATGGGTCGCGAGTTTTGCATTGCGGTTTGTACAACGTTGATTGCCAGTCACTGTTTGAAAGCCACACTTCAAAATTTCATTGCGACTTATTACAGATAGCTGCCGGAATACTTGGTTACGTTATCATATTTTCGGAACTTGGTGAAAAGAATATTGTTCCAAGAAGCGGAGGAATTTCTAGAGACAATTTTGCCAAGAATGCTACACAACTGCTGAAACTCGGGTGGAGTTAGGCCGTGATCCCCGAATAAAATGCGCATACAGTGTACTTGCAATGGTGTCCAACCGGCTGTCACTGCTGTCGGTCTGCTCTGGTTTGATTTCTGTGTTCAACGTGATTGTTTGCTGCTGTTCAACGAAAAATCAGATTTCACAAGTGTCCCAGAATGATGACATGTTGTTTTCAAACACGTGGCGGTAACTTCATATCTGTGTCGTAAATAAATGTGCCGTTAACTATAGAAGCAATGGTTTTGTGGAGTCAGAAATACGTACTGTACTAGAACGTCCGTACTGTACTAGAATACGTCCGTACTGTACTAGAATCGAAGGAAGGGCTTTCCCGTTTGCAGTCTGCATGAATAACAAAATTCAATCCGTAGATCTGCTGCAAATAAACTTGAGTACGTAATCAACTTGGCTGTTTGCTGCCATTTAGCAAGCAACTCAATTTTATAGGTGCCTTAGTATTAATGGAAGAATCTCCAAATAGTTCATAAATTACATGTAAAACGCGGTAACATTATTTCCTAATGTAATAATATCATTAGAGGTAAATGATACATTTTACGTAGCAGCACACATATTAGCAACGGCTGTATAAAATACACATCCCATATAAAGCGCCTCGTACAAACCATAATAAACGCACCTTTTAGTTTGCTGAAAAACTTAAGGGAATATTAATACCCTGTCGAGAAGCTACATTGTCTTTACGTATCTGGAAGCGTTTGCGTCTGGGCCTCCGGTGTGGCTGATGTTTTGTTCGCCCATCTCCGAGAACAGAATAATGTAGCCGAGAATTCCTGCCGCAATCTACAACGCAAAAGACGGATGTACAATTACCGGACAGGTTTGTACAAAATGCGCAGACGATGCACGCGCAGACTCAACAGCTAAACCCACCGCAAGGCAGGTTTCTCGAGTCATTTGCAGACCGGCCACGGTAATGTTCATATCCGTCAGCTCCATTTCACAAACGTATGATTTCAGCTGTTTTTTCCGCTGTTTGGGCATGACTTCCAAGCTAGCTGTGTAACGAAGCAGCTTATGGAATTCTTCCTTCTAAACAAAACCAGTTGCAAATTATAATGCTGTAAAGTCTTTATGTAATTAAAAGCTTCGATTATTGGTAGCGGTAAAGTGACCTTTTCGGAGATAAGCGTTAAAGCGCCCGTCTGAAAAATCAACAGGACCCAAGCCACTACGACGTGCATCGTATCCTTCATTTCCGCTCGATCATGCGCCACGTAATCTTTACATAATTCATACATGTACATAAGTAGGATGGACAGAGTTTCCAGATAAGCCAAAAACGTAATCCAGCGACAAGATTGGTCGTACTCGTCCACTATGTCACAAAACACTTTGTGTTGTCGCAACAAACGCTCGAGCTCTTCGTATCCGCTCCATTTGACGTTGTACGCCAGCAAGGAAAGACTATTGTTAATTTTCTTATAAATAATCCACACAATCCAGGCAAAAACGATAATGAAACATTGTACAATTTTCCGTGCACAATAACTGATACTGTGAATTATCCCCACCGCTTGACAAGCGACCGGCGGAAGGTTGTCCAAGAGCCACATTATATCGGCGACTTTTCTGGTAGTTGCATTATTTTGAAGGGCAATCAGCTCCGCTGTGTCTCCATCGCTTAGGTATGATGTCACTGTCGCGTACCCCGGGAAAAGAGCCAGCAACAAAATGCTCAATAATACCAGAAGTGTTGCTTCACCGCTGCTTATAAAGTGTGCAAAAGTTGACTGTAATTCGGCGGAGAAGCGTGTCAGGCAACAGTGAAGACGCCACATCAGACCGACGTAAACAATGGTTAACGGTGGGATTGAATAAGTTCGGAAGGAAAACAACAGCTCCGTTACACTGTGATAGGAATCCAGCTCGCGGACAAATACACGGATGAACAAGCAGTCATTTACCAACTGCAATACTACGTAGCATAATAAGATACAGTTAACGACGCGGTTCACAGTATGGTGAGCATAGATGATTTTGAAAGGACTGCGAAAGTAGCCGCATGCGTGCGCGAGAATGAAGTAACTGAGAAGGAGCATTTGAATACAGCGCGCCGGTTGGTGAGAGGCGTGTTTCCGGTTCTCCATGTTCGCGCGATTGGCTTCTATCTCCTATGATCTTTCCTTGTAAAGGCGTTTTCTTAAAAACTTCGAAAACTTGTTAGTATTGGACGGTGCTGATTAACGTAGTTCGATTAACAGAAAGCATATGCTTCACTTGCGTTGGAATAAAAATTTATTTAGTGTTGCTGATATGGCGATTGACAAGCAGCTGATGCAACAGTTTGTTACACAATCGAAAAACCGGTACGTATTAGATACCTGCCTGGTTGTGTGACATTATTTTGTATAAACTTTGCCGGTTACCTTTAACGACTGCCGTTTCACTGCATCGCGAAAGACAGTAATCAAACATGTGCAGATACGTGAAATGTATACTTTAGTCATAGCGCATTTTTGAAACTGTTCATCCATAGAAGTATCTAATTTTGAAATCAAGCAGAACTGACAAATCATACAATTATTATTATTTAAAACTTCTGTGCCTACAGATACTGTTAATGCAACCCATAATTAGCCTTTGCTTTCAGTCATTCCATCAACATCAACGAAGAATCCTGAATGGATCAGAATGCTTTAAATCCACTGGCTGTCGTTCGGATTGACCGGCTTTTGCAACATAACAAGTATATAAAAATAAATCACAAACAATACCTGCTGACCAGAGGACTTTCTCACTTTAGTCTTAATCATTGCTTGCTACGCTGTAATTTATAGAACGCTCTCAAACCAGAAGGAATAGTACGTATGTTTGCATAATTCAGTGACAGTACGTATGTTTGTATAATTGTTTGTAGTTTGTATTACAGTACTTGTACAGATATCTATACGAGTATCACTACTTTTTCCTAGTGTCGTATCGGCTGTCATTTAGGAAACTGAGAATTAAAGTGTTAAGCTGCTACGGTACGGTGTGTCACTGTCTGGTGTTGTTTTGACAGTGAGGTATGGTTCCTTTAAGGATGTCTTATTTCGCCCAAAATCGTGTTAACAAGGCAGTTAGCCAATTGCCTGCCGGCGTATGCCTAGTCACTGCAGCTGGACTTATTGGTGCTTATTATTAATTAATTAATTAATTCTGGCAACGGATATTGCGGCTTCTTTAATGACTGCATAGGCCTGCCGGCTGATCCTGCCTACTTTGCACAGATTTCCTAGAAACATCGGCACTTATGCGTAAATACGGATCTAAACTGGCGCGCCGCAGGATGCTTGTTGAAGACACGTGTAGTGCTGGAAATAAGCCGGAACCGAACCCAGATGGTACGTTTGCGTCCGTTCTAATACACACTGGCAATAACTGCGAGCAATGTTGCAGCAATTTGGAGCTCGTCTGTTCATCTATATTTAACGCTGCCATCGGAAAGCAAAAGTTACCATTCTTCGTAAACATACCTAGTGTAAGGGTATCACGATCTTTTACACGCTAAAATTAATTGGTTTTGGGCGCAGTAATATACAGACTCGCTGACCCGTACTCGGACGCGAGAATTTACGGGCGTTCAGAATGTTATATTTTTACTTTTGGCTTTTTAGTGCGTCACTTTTCGGCGCCTTGGCTAGTCCTGTCCCGGAGAGTGTGTCACCAACCAGTCTTAAGGATTTTCTGAAGATTCTGTCAAGTAATACGTCCAGTCTCGAAAATGCAACGAATTCGCTGACGAATGCTACACCAACTGCGTTCATCCCAACCGCCTCGCCAATTCTGTTCACAAGTGCACCTGCTAACAAAGCAGCAGAATTGCGGAACGCGGAATACGCAAATGGCACCGGTAAGACCCAATCGACAATAATACAAGACATTTAATTCACTAAACAACAATTTTTACAGTGGTATTACGGTCCAACGATTTCTTGCTGCCAAACACCAGCTACTATTCCCCATCGCGAACCTTTCGGCTGATCCTGCAGCCTGATCAGAATTTGGTACTGTATCGGGAATGTGACGGCCGCCCGGTATTCTCCACGGAAACCGCCGGATCCCCACCGCTAAGAATGTCGCTCGGTAACGATGGACACCTTCTTGTCGGCAAGTGGGGCAATGGCAGTGATCCCGATCGTCCCGAACTACTGTACTGGTCAACTGAAACCTGGGGGTATGGAAACTCACGGTTGCTAATATCGGATTTTGGTTACTTTTATTTATGTAATGATAACAAATGCTATTGGCGTTCTACGCGAATTTCCGGTAACGGCCAAGGTTGCGGTACGCCAATCGATTTGGCCCCAGCCCAATCCACTAACTACACAGGTAAAAACAGCACTATATGGTCCCATACTTGGCTAAAAAATTAAATCTTGCTCATATTTTAATAACTGTTTTTTATCCCTCAGTACTCATGAAAACAGCGGAGAAAATGAGGCTGGATTGCACGTACTATTCTCCCAACGGAGAGTTCACCTTTCAGTTATCGCGTCTTAACAAGCATTACCTGGTTGTGTGGCGCCAAAGGGACTATCGGCAGACATTTAAGGCTGCCGGACAGAAGGTCATCGATCGTATAGCAATGCAAAAGGATGGAAACCTTGTGGTATACAACGCACCTGGCAATGCAGTGTGGTCTTCCTTAAGCTCCGCGTCAGGGCATGTCAACCCCGAATTGAGACTGTATAATGATGGTTTTCTGTATTTATGCGATGATAACCACGGATGCTAATGGCAGTCTAGCGGGTTCCTTGATACACCCGCGGAATCTATCATGAGGGATTATTAAGCATGCAGCTGTCAGTCGCATCATTTTGCTTTATTTATGAAAGGCAGCTGACGATCTGCACAGTTAACTACCGAGTTTCAAGATCGAACTGTTGACTACTCGAAACGAGAATTTTTAATTCTTTGCTTTTACTGGAAATAAGAATACATGGTGACAAGTTTATGAAATTAATTATATGCTTGGAGTGTTTTTAATAATATCAGCGGGCAATAATCCGCGTACAGCACGTGATCATGCACCCTGATACTTAATACGGCTAGAAGAAAATAAACAAAGGGATATGTCGGCTTTTCGTCGGGCACTTTGTAAAGCTTTCCGCAAAACAAATGCGGAAACGCTTACGGGTATACTGCGGAAATACTTGTCCAACGGAAATACGGATACACAAACGGGACGCCGCAGGAGGACGATGCGAGCACGTGTAATACTTAAAGAAAGCCGGAACTGCAGCAGCCTGACTCGTACGTTGTACATCATGTAAATGCAAGTGTTCTACGTTTAAGCATGCCTAGCGGCAATGATAATGTTGTTTGATGTGGCCGTACGTCGTATATCTGGTTGTATTTTTCGTAATCTTGTTTTGAGTCTGATGTCCGCCGAAGTGGAGAGACGATAATAACCCTGTTTCCTGGGACAAAAAATATAGGGCCCAGCTCGACCTATCAAAGGCGGAATAAAGTAACTAAATATCAAGATATCACGCATAACCAGCTCTTAACGCCCTGGGATTGGTACCGCAAGAATTCTTTTAGCCGTGAGCTGCTCTCTTGATCACGAAAAGATGCTGCATAAAACCCGACAGGCACGAGCAGCGCAACATCCACACCACTGACACCAGCGTATCAGCATAGAAATACAGTGCGAAATCGCTGTTCGGGAACAGCTCCACCAGAGCTGCGCTCCGTTCTAAGACCGCTGGGGATTGTTAATTTCCGGTTCTATGCATTGCGATGTTGTTACAGTAAATGTTTTTGTATAGTACGGCCAAGTGGTATAACCTTTGTCACAGTGTTCAGCTCATATCTACAGAGCCAGCTCTGTATTGCAAGCCAAAGTGTCTACTATGAAAGTAATACAGATATGCGTCTGCCAAAAACCTGTGGAAAGCTGGACGAATACATTTTATAACAGCTGTTTTCGGCTACGGACATCCTGGTAGCTTTCGGTCGTGCCAGCAAAACGCTGATATTGGCAAGGAAACGATACCACACCGCTTTTTAGCGCTAAATTACTATCAAATTTTTAAAGCAGATTTCAGTGTTTCTAACGATGGAATATGTAACGAAAATATCAGCATGTTTCAGTTTCTGAAAGCTTAGCAGAGTGGATCGTCAGTTCGACGTTTCAGTAATAGTGGATGACGAAGCGGTTGCTCCGTTAGCGACGGTTGTGTTAGGTTTCTCTATTTGTTTTACGGTCGTGCCAACTCAATGGAAGAATTGCGCTGATCAACATTTTTCCTTTATACGATAATTACTGCTTCTATCTAAACGTCCTTATTGTAGAATAGGCGCGCAACTGAGTTAATGAACAGGTAATAAAAATCTGTAAGTGTCAGCAGGCAAATCACGAAAATATTAATCATACCCGGTAAGCTGAACTGCTGAAGGATAAGTCAGTCGAAAGCATCAAGCCTCAAGAAACCCGCTTGATTGCCAGTAACATCCGCGTCTGTCACATAAATATAGGAAGCCGTCATCGTACAGCCGTAATTCGGGTTTTATGCACTTCTCTTTTGGCGCATGAGGGAGGACCAGAGTGTCTTCCCATCTGCATCGTACATGACCAGATTCCCATCGTCCTGCATCAAAAGGCGACTAACATCCTTCTTTGTGGTAACCTGAAAACCTAGTCGATCATCACGTTGTCGCGATATGGCTAGGCGCCGGGTGTTAGTTGTGCCGGCATGCGGTCGTTGCAGCAGGGATTTCCCTTTAGGTGAATCCATTGTGAAATTCCCATAAGTTAAGCCCTGTCCCGTAGCGACGACCACTATAATTTAAGGAAAAAGCGCACTTCAGTGCGACTAGTTTTGGTGTGAAAAATGTATGGTTACCGAGTTCGCTGTTCGTTAGTGACAGGTTTTCTAGTGTTATTAGTTTTTCTAGGAATCATAAAGCTGTTTTCCTAAAATCTTACCACCAGTGCTATGGCCGATATATTATAATAGCGAATTTGGGCAAGCGCCAGCATTGACAGTAGCATTAGCAATAGCAGTGCTCACGGCTATGGCCAAACGCACTGCAGCCCGGTTACCTGGCTGCCCAACTCCGGTGTTGGAGAAAGCAATAGCAATACTCGTATCAATACTGTGCAGGGCACTGCAGGCCCGTAGCGAGATCCCGGTTAAATTTTCAAAGAACTCCTCCCACACTTTCCATCAGAAATTTTTTCTGAATACACCGTTGGATTCACCGTGGAATTTTAAACAAAATAGTTGAGGAAGATTTTTGAATTTCGCTTTCTCTCTGAAATCAACTGCACGGGCGGTCGCACCTACGACACCTGAGATTGTGGGGGATATCTCTCAAGTCACTCCAATTCCCCAGCGCTCAGGGGGCAATACCCCAAAATCTCGGGTGTCTTAGGTGCGACCGCCCGTGCAGTTGATTTTAGGGAGAAAGCGAAATTCAAAAATCTTCCTCAACCATTTAGTTCAGAATTTTACGGTGAATCCAACGGTGTATTCAGAAAAAACCTTTGATGGAAAGTGTGGTAGCAGATTTTTTTAAGAAAATTTAATATCTGATATTGTGCACTCGTACAGCCGTACTGCAAAAGCGAAAACTGCCCAGTGTCTACTTTGGAAGAAAAGTCAACTGAAACTTGAAAATCACAACTTCAAAACTCTCTGGTCCAAAACTGTGATTTTAGTATTGTTGCAGCTTTATTATTCATCTTAGCCTCGAATCCTTTTGCTTCTCTAACCAACTTGATTAAATCCATTCATCACAGCATTAATCTATCAGCACCATGCCAACTGCCAAATTGGAGAGTTGGAGACACGCGAAACTTCTACGCCAGTCAGGGTCTTTTATTGCTGGATAAGGATAAGTTATTTTTATTGTTAACAATAAAAATCCTTTCCTTGTGGAGAATAAAGGTGTAGCACGGACTGTAATCTTGCAAATCTATGTTCAAGTTTGTCGAATTACATAAAAAGCGGGTATTTTGAATTTTGAAATTCGTGCCAGATCGGAAGCGAGGCACGATGCGATTTTTACAGGGAGTTGAGTTGATGCGCTACAAATAGAAATTTCATGATCTTCTGATGGTTCGTTTTAAAGTCACTTTAAAAATAGAAAACAGTTACTGTTCACATTCTTAAACATCCCAGAAAAATCTGCATACTTTTTTGAACATTTCTGATTTTGGCTCCCCGTAGGCAGTTGTACTCAGCTGCGAAGGCAGAGGGAGAAAGAGGATGACCGTAGTTTGTCTTTTCTACGGTCAATGCCAGCTCTGCATTGACCGTGCCGTAGCTTTGAAACCGTAGCTAAAGACGATTCGGACCGACAATCGGTCCAAGACCAAAGGATACGGCTATGGCCAATGCTACGGTCGAAGAGTGCCCAAATTGTCTAATATATTCAAGTTGTTGATGGAAGTAACGTGTAAGTAACTAGAACGGTTGCTGCAATAAAATTCTGGCAATACCAATGGTAATCATAGTTTTAAAAAACATTTTGGTTAGTTCTTTATTTTTCCTCTTTTTTTTGACCAAAAAACTGTTGTTTTGCAGGAACCAGTCTTCACGCACGATCATAATTTTCGGTACTATTCGCAAAACAGTGTTACATCTTACCTTTGTCAGAAGTGTGCCTAGATAAACCTCTTACCTCGGTACTGGTCGAGTTTTGGTGGTGCAAGATTAAACCGGGCACGGCAACCCCCGTCCTGGATGCCGGTGACCCGCAACGAACGCCAATAGCATTCACTCTCGTTACACAAAGAAAAGTAGCCGAAATCCGATAAAAGCAACCGAGATTCCCCATAGCCCTCCGTGTCGGTTGACCTGAACGACGTCTGGAGCTCATCGCTGCTGTTCCACACTCCAACAACAAAACGCCCATCACTGCTCAGTGTGGCTTGTACCGGTCCGATTCCAACTGTCCCCGTGGCGAACAGTGGGCGACCGTCGCATTGCCGATATTTTTTTTTATTATTATTATCGTACTACAGTGGCCAAACTCCATTACGGAGACTTATTACCCTCAGGTGAAAACCGTTGGGCAAACCAGGCTATTGGAAAATATAGCACTAAATTTTGGTTGATTGGTCATCCTGCAGTACTAATGGGAAGTATCGCGATGGAGATTGGAGAATAGCAGCTCCGTCCCACCACCATGGATTCGTTACATCGTAAAACCACTTATTTACAGAAAATCCTTCTACTGATTGGATAGGTACAATTTTTCAAGTGGAACTACTGTATGTCTGACTAGTATTGGGCCGGCCCGGCCCAGGGCCGCGGCCCGCTGTGGACGTTAATTATGGAAAAAGACGTAGAAAAACGAAAAATTTCATTAGGATTTACTGAAATTTAGTATTTTTCGACGAGTTTTTCTTGATTTTCGCAGCATTAAACGTTTTCTAGTAATGACATCCGGGAGTGAAATATTTTTGTGCTGTGCTGCAAGACAGACCGGCCCTCTTACCCGGGCCCGGCCGGGCCGACCCAACACTATGTCTGACTTACCATTGCTATCTAAGTACATAGCATCCCGTAAATGTGATGTAATCGGTGTTGTATTGACAAGCATTTGTAGACTTATCGAGACGGGTTCTGAGAGGGTAGCAATCGTTGTTTCGTCCGTTGCGTTAAGGCCGCTAGGTTCGGTAGTCGTGTCATATGTAGCCGCCGCTAAACCTTGCCATTCCGGAGTGCTGTACACGAAATTCGCGGTTTTTTCTGTAGTTGTCTCGTCCATATCACCTGGAAAGCTGGTGTAGTACTTAAGCTGTATGTAAGCGTTGAATTTGGTCGCCCGTGAGCGAAATTTGCAAGGTTTGTGGGCTGAAAGATGGACAGTGGACTTGCGGTGGTGTTTAGTGTTTACTGTTGGCTGCGGCGCATCGACATTTTTTTGAATGCAGGATGGGCTAGAAGCTAAACAGTCATTTTTTAGGCTGGGATATTTACGAAGTTAAACAGACATAACTTTTTCTAACAGACTACAGTGTGCTTTGTACTGGTAGCGGTTCGTTTGCTTTTACAGCCATTCTGTAGTTTCGCCCATGTTTGAACGTACTGT